AGTAAACATTTTTGTATTTTAACAAAATCTGAGATAGTGAAAAATTTAAAGTTGAAATATCTATATCTCTTAGGTGTCTCATATTCTTAAATTGCATTAGCTTTTCTCATTTCAATGAAACTGAGTTTAGGATCGACTCTGGAAAGAATGTCTTGAGGGAATGGGAATGCCTGAAGGACATCTGGAGAATGATTGAGAAGGTCAGAATTGTGAGGCCTGGAAGGTTTGAGGTGAAACTACAGGTGTCAGTGTTATAATTTATTCATTATTTTCCGTGTCTCACACTATGGTGTAAGACTTTATGATAATCAGATGAAAAATAAGATTTGACACCAGGTATGGTAGCATGCACCTTTAATCCCAGCTCTCGGGAGGCGGAGGCAGGTGGAGCTGAGCAAGGTCAGGATCACCCTGGTTCACTTCCTGACTTCTAGGCAGGCTGTGATGAGGGAGACCCTGTCAAAAACACAATCAACAAAAGAATGTTAAAAAATGAGATCCTTCCAACATCAAAGTAGGGAGATGTATTTGAAATAGGTACAATGGCATGGTTTGTGTTAAATGAGTTTATATATGTGTATATATGTGTGTGTACGTGTGTATGTGTGTGTTTGTGTTTGTGTGTGTGTATGTGTCAGTAAGAAGATAGACAGAGACAAAGAGAGAACCAATTTTACCTCAGGAATTTTCCCCAAAATTGTCCTTGTGACAGGGCCTGAAGGTGTAAGAACTGCTTGAAATAGTCTCTTTTATTGATTTCTTGCCTCTGATTTATTATGTTTATCCTCAACAAGTGCCGTGGATTTTCCTGCTTTTGTAATTGAACATATTTAAATGACTGCATTGTCCTCTACATAGGAAACACTTCTGCCTTTAATTTCAGTAAACAGAGATGTTTCAGATAGTAGATACTTGCTCCCAAATCAGGTGTTTTCTGATGTTTGCATATATAGAGAGATTTTTTTTCTTACTGTGTAAAACACAATAGCAATGATACATTTTTTAGACAGGGTCTCCCTGCAGCCCCAGCTGGCTTGGAACTCTCAGCATAGCCCAAACTGGTTTTGATTTCACAGAGATACATCTACAGAGATGTTTCAGATAGTAGATACTTGCTCCCAAATCAGGTGTTTTCTGATGTTTGCATATATAGAGAGATTTTTTTTCTTACTGTGTAAAACACAATAGCAATGATACATTTTTTAGACAGGGTCTCCCTGCAGCCCCAGCTGGCTTGGAACTCTCAGCATAGCCCAAACTGGTTTTGATTTCACAGAGATACATCTACCTCTGACTCTCCCTCTCAAGTCCTGGAATTAAAGGTATCTACCACCATTCCAAGCTTACAATAGTACACTTGAAATAACTATTTTTCAAATCAGAATAACATGGCCAAAGAACATATATTGCTAATGTTTAAATATTTCAATAGGTATTACTTTCCTTTAATCATTGTTATAATATGTGTGTATTTTGCCAGTGTTCTGGAGCATGTTGTATTTGGTCCCTTCAAACCCTATTTCTACAAAGCCCAAATATAGGTAATTCATGCCTACAGTTGGGGTTTTGAAAACAAAGCACCTGTTGTTATTTGGCCTCACAATATTTATGGGAACCATATTTTTACAGAACAAAAGTCTGGCCAAGTGTGCTGGTACACACCTTTAATGCCAATACTCGAGAGACAGAGGTAGGTGGTTCTCTGTAAGACTGAGACCAGCCTGTTCTACATAGTGAGTTCCAAGCCAGCTGGGGCTACAGGAAGACCCTGTCTCAAAATGACAAAAAAAGAGTCTAATGTGGAGAATATGGTTAAAAACTCAATAGACTCCCAGCAAGTAAAAGATTAAATAAGTCTGCCAAATCCCCACTTGATCAGAAAGCAGAGGATCTTGAACTTGCAGCTTTGGAAGTATCTTCAAAGTTTGGACTTGATAGTGTAAATCTGCGATATAGAGATTGGAGGTGGAAGTTGGACATGGGTATGCAGGCCAGGCCTGTAATTCTAGCACTGGGGAGGAAGAGACAGAAAGATTAGGAGTTCAAGTTCAACCATAAATACAATGTGAGTTCAAGGCAGCATGGGATAGGTGTTATTAATGTGAGGGATGATGAATAGGATATAGGAAGAAAGAGAGATAAGGAGAGAGAGAGAGAGAGAGAGAGAGAGAGAGAGAGAGAGAGAGGTCTTGGAAAGGACAATGAGTAGAAGATGAACGTGAAAACATGCAACTTTTAAATGTTGACCTTTATCTATGGTCACAGAACACATGAGAACATGCTCACTGAAACTGCGATGGCTTCACACAAGGCAGGTGTCTCACAATGAGCACTTGGTTCTTCAGATATGATCCTGTTCCCTTGTGTTGTCTACATGTCATAACCAAAGCCAATTCTCAGCAACACATCAAAATAGAAGCCAGAGTTTTATGCCAGGGGAAATAGCCTATACCAAAAATTCATTTAGTTATCTAGCCAATAGTGGCACCAAATTGGACAGGAGATATGGATCTGAATCTTGAAACTGTTATACCAAAACAGGAGATGGAATTTATTAGGAATCTCATGAATCAGGATTTAACATTTTAGAAAGGACTTCAGGGGTTGCCCCTATGATTGCTGACTTTTATTCCATAAGTCTGAGTCTGAGGATCATTAAGAGTAAACAAAGTTTAAGTACAAGAAGATCCTGGTAAAATGTTAAAGATTTGATCAGAAGGTTTTAGTGCATGGGGAAGTTATGATTGTTGCATGTTACCTGTACATGACAAAGCTCTCTGAAGGAAAATTAAAGTTCTTTTCTTTATCGATGGAGCAGGTCACCTATTACTAAGTAATTGTGTGTGCGCGCTCATGTGTGTGGCTATGTATGTATGTGATGTATGCGTCTGTGTCTATATGTGTGTGTGTGTGTGTGTGTGTGTGAGATGTATGTGTCTGTGTGTCTATGTGTGTGTGTGATGTATGCGTCTGTGTGTCTGTGTACGGAGGGCTAAGTTCAAGAGTCTTTGTTAATTTGGTAGCAAATTTCTTCTTCAGAAAAGTGTCTTGGATTGGGGCACGACCATAGGCCTGGTCTCTCTATAGTCTCTAGGGAAGACGGAAATGAAGAACTACTTCCAGGAGAATGAAGGGGTGGCCATTATGATGGTAACTAGGTGATGGCAACCAGAATCTTGACACCAAAGATCTATGGAGACATCTCTTTGATCATGACTAGACAGATGAACAGTTGGCTAAGGTACTACACGATTTACTTTAGTTATAAGTCATGTGTGGGTTTTCTGGCATCTGACAGTTGTTTCAATGGGAAGTGATGAGAATGGCCTAGTTTCCAAATATGAGCTACACGAGACACCAAGGAAGCTCTGACATAAAGGAAAGTTGGGATGACTTGAATAATGACCCTGCCAATCTACAGCAAGTATATGCAGCAATTATCTCTCCAGTGTGTCTGCTGAAGAACCTTGTGACTGTTTGCCAATTGACTGTGTATTGCAAAGTGGTAATTATGTAGAATTTTTAAAAGCATGCTAAGCATGGAATTCTAGATGGCATTAATATCTGGAGATTTGAAAGTGCTCCATGTTTCACAAGTTAGGACTATGAGGAGAATCAATCAATAAATGCAGCTCTGAATTGAGGTCAGTTTACAGGTCTATGAGGCCATCTCATCGCACATTCTCAACACTCTGTTGGGAGAGGGAGTGTAAAGGGCATGGAGAGCACAAAGGAGACTGTGTGGGGTGTAATCGTTGCAGACTCAGTGTTTTCTGACGGTCTCCTTTCTTATCCTTGCAGCAACGTTTCCATGATGATTTTATTTTCCATTTCCCAATTGGATGAACTTCCACACCAGATAATATGACATTAAATTTCTCAAGAGGACAAAGGGCTGTATGAACAATCTTAAAGTATCAACAAATTAGCTTTCCAAAACTTGACTTTTGCTGTGCACTACATTTTTTCCTTGAAAACCTTTTAAGGACTGTCAACTATCCAAGGAAACTTTCCTGAAGAAAATTTCTTGGGCCTGTTCAGGAGATCAGTTAAAGAAGGCACTAGTAGTATAGAGAACTGAACTCCAGTCCTAAGAGCTTTTACTTACCTTCAGTGGCCTGAACTTGACATCTCAATATCAACACTTTGAACTTTTCTTTGGCTCTAATATATTAGAAGAAATAAAGGAATTGAATGAACATTTTAAAAACATTGAATTAGTATTTAAAAAATAATTAATCAATTTTTTGGCCAAATAGAATTTTTGAAGTATATCATACATATATTCTTTGGGTCAAATTTACAGAAATGGAAAATACAAGGTCAGCATTATTTCAATTTGATATGTATACTACCAAAATAAGGCAATTTCATGTCACTTGGTCTGCTGTTGACTTCTTTTGGACATTTTTAGACTGATGAGCTGAATGTGCAAGACGCACAGGTTTCCTTTCAGCAGCCACCATTCTGTGGTTTTCTCTTTTCAATCTCCTTCAGCTCTGACTAAGCACTGTATCAATTTCTTCCTCTTCCAGTAATTCCATTTCCTCTCCTGCTGTCTCAGTTATTGCCTGTATTATCAGGTAACCTAAGATTGAAAAAACATTAGCTCATACATTCGTCAACCCCAAAGTGAATTATATGCAACTTTTAGAAAGAACAGATGAACTGACAGGCAACAGCAAGAATCGTACGGCAGATCTGGTCAGTGGAATCTGACAGTGGACTAGAAATTGATGTGGAAGGAAGCTAAGAGGACACAAACGATCAGAAGGGCACTGACGCTGAGGAGAGATATAAACTATGAAAGTCTCGGCCAAAAAGAGTCATGTGTTTTCACTACAACACAGAAGCCACTCATCTGGTATGAAAAATACAAATTCAGAGAACTTATGAAACTGTCACTCATGATGAATACTTTTATGCAATTTAATAGTCAGAGTCCAACAAATATCCTCTAATAGTATATAAATAATTATAATTTACTAGAACTCAGTGAACAATGAGATGTGCTACACAACCTGAATGTAGGCAATTCCAGTACATTGGAAATGGAACAACATTGCCCTTGATCTTAGACTTGAAAACTTCCTATATGTAACATGGATGGTACACTTGAAAGTTTATTTACAGCAGCACTGGTTTTATGTGCCCTTATGATGATAATCTGCTGTGTACTATTGATGCATAATACACTGAAGGGGCATGAATAGCAACTGACCAAAGTTCAAAAGCTTAACATAAGTGCAAACAAATGCCAAAAGTACATCTTACCATGCCATATAGATAACGTTGTTGATGTTATAGAAGCCAGCATGAAAGTATCTGACACTCCTTACATGGTGTTGGTCTAACCATTCTGCAATTAAAGGAAAGTTGAAGTAAACAGTTATTTCATCTGTAACGGAAATAGGTACACCAAGCCCAATGATATCGAAGTGAATTTCTTTCCAAATATGATATGATTTTTACAATAAACCTGTCTGAGAAAGATAAAACTAAAAATTGCAATTTTAATTATAAAAAGAATTAATTTTGAAATGCATTATAAACCATCTCAAAACTGAAGCAGGGTATCTCAATCACTCAAAGTAGCAGGGATCAAAGTAATGTTGTCTGTTATATTAAGATCACAGAATAAATGAAAGCATCCCTAGTCTTGAACTCTGTCATTAAAGTTATTGAAGGTTAGCATTTCTGATATTTGAAAATACATGGTGCACTGTTTTTTGGAGGTAAGGGTCTCCTTATAGCACCAGTGGACCTCAGACTCACTAGATAGACCAGGTTAGCCTCAATCTCACAAAGATCTACCTGCTTCTGTTTTCCAACTGTTGGAATTAAGGCCAAGCACCACCATGCGCAGCATGAAATCCTTTTTATATTTATGTAGAAAAGAATATATTTTGACAATTGTGATCAAAGAAACTAAAATTGTCAAACATATAATAACAAAATTTAGTCCAGTGTTCAACTATTGTGAAGCCTGTGTTA